GGTCTTGAACTCCTGGCCCAAATGGTCCTCCCGCCTCCCAGAATGCTGGGATTACAGGTGTGAGTCACCGCGCCCAGCCTAATTTTATCATGATTCAAATTTTTTATAGACATAGAACCTCGCTATGTTGTCCATGCTGGTCTTGAACTCCTGGTCTCAAGGAAACCTCCCGCCTTGGCCTCCCAAGTGCTGGGATTACAGGCATGAGCCACTGCACCTGGCTCCCACTTCGATATCTGGCCAGAAGCACGAGCAGCCAAACAAAAAATTGATAAATTGGACTTCATCAAAATAAGCATCTTTCTGTCCCAAAGGATAACATCAAAAAAGTAAAACGACAACACAGAATGGGAGAAAATACTTGCAAATCATGTATGTTATAAGGGACTTCTATCTAGAATATATCGAGAAATCTTACAACTCAAAAAGACGTCAGATCTCTGGCTCATCAACCAAAAAGACAAATAAGACCATTTAACAATGGGCGAAGGATCTGAGGAGACATTCCTCAAAGAACTGAATGTATGGCCAATAAGGACATGAAAAGATGCTCTACATAATTAGTCACCAGGGACATGCAAATCAAAACCACAATGAGATACCACTTCGCACTCACTAGAAAGGATATAATAAAACCAAACCAGTCAACCAAATAAAGAAAAAAAACAGAAAAGAGGCTGGGCACGGTGGCTCATGCCTGTAATCCCAGCACTTTGGGAGACCAAGGTGGGTGGATCACCTGAGATCAGGAGTTAGAGACCAGCCTGGCCAACATGGCAAAACCCCGTCTCCACAAAAAATACAAAAGTTAGCCAGATGTGAAGACAGGTGCTCATAATCCCAGCTACTTGGGGGGCTGAGGCAGGAGAATCGCTTGAACCTGGGAGGTGGAGGTTGCCGTAAGCAGAGATTGCACTGTTGTACTCCAGCCTGGGCAACAAGGGTGAAACTCCATCTCAAAAAAGAAAAGAATGAAAAATGGAAAAGAGCAAGTATTGGTGGGGATGTGGAGAAGAGTCCTCACACACTGGCAGTGGAATGTAAAATTGTAGCCACTTTGGGAAACAGTCTGGTAGTTCCTCAAAGGATCAAATGAAATTACCACTGACCCAGAAATTCCAATCCTTGATATTATCCAAGAGAAGTGGAAAACGTATGTCCATGCAAAAACTTTACACAAACATTTATAGCAGCATGATTCATAGTAAAGTAAAAAAATTGAAACCCAAATATCCATCAACTAACAAATGGATGAAGAAAATATGTGAGCTGGGTGTGGTGGCTCACACCTATAATCCCAGCCCTTTGGGAGGGCAAGGTGGGTGGATCACGTGGTCAGGAATTGGAGACAAGACTGGCCAACATGGTGAAACCCCGTCTCTACTAAAAATACAAAAATTAGCTGGGCGCGGTGGCAGGCACCTGTAATCCCAGCTACTTGGGAGGCTGAGGCGGGAGAATTGCTTGAACCTGGGAGGCAGAGGTTGCAGCGAGCTGAGATCATGCCATTGCACTCTAGCCTGGGCGACAGAGCAAGACTCTGTCTCAAAAAAGAAAGAAAGAAAGAAAGAAAGTATTGTGGCTGGGTGTGGTGGCTCATAGCTAATAATTGCAGCCATTTGGGAGGCTGAGGCAGGAATTCAAGTCCAGCCTGAGCAACATAGCAAGACCTCGTCTCTACAAAAATTTTTAAAAATTAGCCAGGCAGGGTTGGGCACAGTGGCTCACACTTTCAATCCTGGCGCTTTGGAAGCCCAGGGTGGGTGGATCACTTGAGCTCTGGAGTACAAGACCAACCTGGACAATATGGTGAAATCCCATCTCTACCAAAAATACAAAAAACTAGCCAGGTATGGTGGTGCATGCCTGCAGTCTTAGATACTCAGGCTGAGGCAGGAAGATCCCTTGAGCCCAGGAGGTTGAGGTTGCAGTGAGCCATGATCTTGCCACCGTACTCCAGCCTGGGTGACAGAGCAAGACTCTTGGTCTCCAAGAAATCAAAAATGAAAACAAGCCCTCCAGTGCACATTAAGGTTTGAGGAACATTGGTATAATGCAATGTAAAGGTGAGAGGCAGGAGTCATCACAGCATGATCAGAGCTGAAATTTCCTGAGTGTTGACTGGGCTTTCCCATGATCTCATGTAATTTCTAAAAGCAACTTATGAATTGGTGGTGCTATTATTATCCCATTGGACAGCTTGGGAAACTGAGGTGCAGTGAGGTGCAGAGAGGGGAAGTGACATGCCCAAGGTCATAGAGCTAGTGGATGGCAGGGTTGGCACCTGAAAGTCAGTTCCTTCTGTCCCCAAAGCCCATGCTGTTAACCGGTGCATCGGCATTTCCTAGATCTGGGTCTACAAACATCACTGGTCATGATGGAGTAGTCTCAGGGGGAACTTGTTTGTATGTTCATTTTAAATTCCAATAGTTACGTAACTATTTAATGTACAGTAGAAAATACATACGTAGCACTTCAAACTCATGATTTTAATAATAATGGTTCCCTTTAAAATAACTGAATTTATAATAAAGGTTAGTTGCTTTGATGAAAAATATTAAGTAAATAAAAGTATTGTTAGGCTCAGATACGGCAAATACGGTAGAGAGGGTAACAATGAAATAAGAGAAACATGAAGCCAGACTCTGTCTTGCTGTGTCACCCAGGCTGGAGTGCAGTAGCTCAATTTCAGCTCACCACAACCTCCACCTCCTGGGTTCAGGCAATTCTTGTGCCTCAGCCTCCCAAGTACCTGGGACTACAGGTGCATACCACTGCACCTGGCTAATTTTATATGTTTTTTGAGAGAGTTCTGCTCTTGTTGCCCAGTCTGGAATACAATGTCACGATCTTGGCTCACCGCAACCTCCGCCTCCCAGGTTCAAGTGATTCTCCTGCCTCAGCCTCCTGTGTAGCTGGGATTATGGGTGCGTGCCACCAGGCCCAGCTGATTTTGTATTTTTAGTAGAGATGGGGTTTCATGTTGGTCAGGCTGATCTTGAACTCCTGACCTCAGGTGATCCACCCACCTCCGCCTCCCAAAGTGCTGGGATTACATGTGTGAGCCACTGCGCCTAGCCCAAACTTAGTTTACTGTAAAAATATGTAACAATTTGTATATTTTACTGTGTAAATAAATTGCACCTCATAACAGTACTGTAGGCCAAGAGCAATGCCTCATGGCTACAAGCCAAGGGAGGATTGCTTGAGCTCAGGAGTTCAAGACCAGCCTGGGTAACATAGGAGATTCTGTATCTTAAAAAAAAAAAAAAAAAAAAAAAAAAAAAAAAAGGCCGGGCGCGGTGGCTCAAGCCTGTAATCCCAGCACTTTGGGAGGCTGAGGTGGGTGGATCACAAGGTCAAGAGATCGAGACCATCCTGGCCAATATGGTGAAACCCCGTCTCTACTAAAATACAAAAAAATTAGCTGGGCATGGTGGTGCGTGCCTGTAATCCCAGCTACTCAGGAGGCCGAGGCAGGAGAATTGCCTGAACCCAGGAGGCAGAGGTTGCGGTGAGCCGAGATCGCGCCATTGCACTCCAGCCTGGGTAACAAGAGCGAAACTCCAAAAAAAAAAAAAAGGTCGGGTGCAGTGGCTTACGCCTGTAATCCCAGCACTTTGGGAGGGCGAGGCAGGTGGATCACAAGGTCAAGAAATCGAGACCATCCAGGCCAACATGGTGAAACCCCTGTCTCTACTAAAAATACAAAAAAATCTGCTGGGCATGGTGGCATGCGCCCGTAGTTCCAGCTACTTGGGAGGCTGAGGCAGGCAAATTGCTTGAACCCGGGAAGTGGAGGTTGCAGTGAACTGAGATCGTGCCACTGCACTCCAGCCTGGTGCCTGGCGACATAGCAAGACTCTGTCTCAAAACAAAGCAAAACAAAACAAAAACAAACAAACAAAAAAAGCTGGGCTTGGCGGTGTGCACCTGTAGTCCCAGGTACTTGAGAGGTCAAGGTTTGAGGGCTGTTGGAACCTAGGAGGTCAAGGCTACAGTGAGCCGTGACTGTGCCACTGCACTTCAGCATGGGTGACAGAGTGCAACCCTGTCTCTAAAAATAAATAAAATAAAATGCCTCAGTAGGGTGTGATGTAAGGATGAGTAGATAGATTTGATGGGGGCTGGGATATGTAATAAAGCAAAATGTTAACATAGAACCCAGGGGTGCATGCTCAGGACAACTCACTGCACAATTCTTTCCACTTCTCTGTTTGAAAACTTTCATGTTAGAATGTCCAATGTGATTATTTACAGATTGTCCCATACAATGAATACATGAATTAATGAATACATAAGGCCTCAAAGATGGCAGAGGCCAGGCAGGGTGGCTCACACCTATAATCCCAGCACTTTGGGAGGCCAAGGCGGGTGGATCACCTGAGTTAGGAGTTTGAGACCAGCTTGGCCAATATGGCAAAACCCCATCTCTACTAAAAATACAAAAATTAGCTGAACGTGGTGGTTTGTGCTACTCAGGAGGCTGAGGCAGGAGGCCAAAGGTTGCAGTGAACCGGAGATGGTGCCACTGCACTCCAGCCTGGGAGACCGAGAGAGGAGACTACGTCTGAAAAAAAAAAAAAAAGCCGGACGCGGTGGCTCAAGCCTGTAATCCCAGCACTTTGGGAGGCCGAGGCGGGTGGATCACGAGATCGAGAGATCGAGACCATCCTGGTCAACATGGTGAAACCCTGTCTCTACTAAAAATACAAAAAATTAGCTGGGCATGGTGGCTCGTGCCTGTAATCCCAGCTACTCAGGAGGCTGAGGCAGGAGAATTGCCTGAACCCAGGAGGCGGAGGTTGTGGTGAGCCGAGATGGTGCCATTGCACTCCAGCCTGGGTAACAAGAGTGAAACTCCGTCTCAAAAAAAAAAAAAAAGACGGCAGAAATCTGTTGACACACCTTTTCTATGCTTTCTACATATAGGAAACAGGGTATGTATTACTTTCATAATAAAAGTATTTTCTTTTTAGAGACAAAAACAGCATAAGAAGTCCACGGATAAAATCAGCATTTATTCAGCGGGCATGATACCAGGAAGAAACTCCCCGAGTGGGAGACCATGCCTGGCCCCCTGCCAGGGAACCAAGGCTCAGCCCTTTCCTGCTCCCGGCCCTGCTGGGAAGGCTGGGCGCACAGTTCGCGGAGGGGCCCTGGGGTGGTCTAACCTGGCAGAGGGAGGTCCCTATGGGTAGAGGAGCCCAAAGAGCCTGAGTATCAGGAGAGCTGGCACAGGAAGTCGTGTAGAGGCAAAGCCAGGAGGCCTGACAGGGAGATTCCCAGCGTGTCAGAGATGCAGGTGGCTGCCATGGCAAACTCCCGGTGCTCATCACTGGTCTGGGAGGGCAGAGAGCAGGGGTGAGGCTTCAGTCCCAGACATCCCTGCCCTGGACGTCCCTGGACAGGCCACCCACAGCCCTTGCCTGGCTAGTGCTGACCTCCAGGGCGATGTTGTGGAAGGTGTTCACGTAGGCTGCGCCTCCCAGAAGCCCCTCATACAGAACGATCAGGAAGACGAGGTAGATGCTTGGCAGAAAGCCGAACCACACGTCCGCCAGAAGGAACACCAGGTTGAGGCACTGTGGGCAGAAGGAGAGGTTGAGCCTGGGACCAGGGAGGGCCAGGGAGGTAGGGCGGCCTCCCCTCCAGGGGCCCCTGGTTCTCAGAGATACTGGTGAAGGGGAGGGCTGCCAGGCCTGGATAAAATCCCAACACCAGCCCAGCGCTTTGGGAGGCCGAGGCAGGCAGATCACCTGAGGTCAGGATTTTGAGATTAGCTTGGCCTGGTCTCTACTAAATATGGTAAAATCCCATCTCTAACTAAAAATAAAAAAGTTAGCCGGGTATGGTGGCAAGTGCCTGTAGTCCCAGCTACTCAGGAGGCTGAGACAGGAGAATCACTTGAACCTGGGAGGCAGAGACTGCACTGAGCCAAGATCATGCCAGTGCACTCCAGCCTGGGCAGAGAGAGACTCCATCACACAAACACACAAAATCCCAACCTCAGGCTGGCGTGGTGGCTGATGCCTGTAATCCCAGCACTTTGGGTGACTGAGGTGGGATGATCACTTGATGCCAGGAATTCAAGACCAGCCTGGGCAACATAACAAGACTCCATCTCTACCAAAAATTTAAAACTTAGCTGAGTGGTGGCACATACCTGTAGTCCCAGCTACTTCAGAGTCTGAGATAGGAGAATTGCTTAAATCCAGGAGGTGGAGGCTGCAGTAAGCTATGATTGTGCCACTGCACTCCAGCCTAGGAGACAGAGCAAGATCCTGTCTCAAAAAGAAAAAAAAAAAAAAAAAAAAAAGAAAAAGAAAAAAAAAAGGAGGCTTCCTAAAGGAAGTGGGACCATTGAAACCAGGATTTCTCGATCGCAGCACTCTTGGCATTTGATGCCGGTCGTTCTGCGTGGTGGGGGTTGTCCTATGTATGGTAGCGCATTTAGCAGCATTCCTGGCCTTTGCCCATTAGATGCCAATAGCATCCCTCAGTTGTGGCAACCAAAGAATGCCTGTAGATGTTGCCAAACGTCCCCTGGGCAGCAAAATTGCCCCAATTTGAAAAACCGCTGGCTCAGTATGGTAAAACAAGGTGGGAATAGCCAGGCATCCTATTCAGTTGAGCTCGAACTCCTGGCCTCAAGAAGTCACCGCCCTGCTGCCCTGGCCTCCCAAAGCGCTGGGATTATAGGCAGGAACTACCGAATCTGGCCAGGAAGCCTCCTTGACCCAGGGGGTAGGTCCTGCCTCTGTGCCCCAGTATCTCAGGGAGGTGCCACTCTCCCAGCCCTGACAACACCACGCTGCCTCTTGTGCAGTGTGTAGGCTGCCTCTTGGAGGTTCACACTCTTCGTATACATTAAGAATCACGTGGGGATCTAGGTATAAATGCCCCAAGCAGGCCTCCCCCTAGGGGTCCTAATTCATTAAGTCTGAGGTGGACTTAAAGATGAGCATTAAAAAGGACACACTCCTGGCTGGGTGTGGTGCCTCACACCTGTAATCCCAGCACTTTGGGAGGTTGAAGCAGGTGGATCACTTGAAGTCAGGAGTTCAAGACCAGCCTGGCCAACACAGTGAAACCCCATCTCTACTAAAAAATAGAAAAATTAGCCAGGCATGGTGGCACACGCCCGTAATCCCAACTACTAGGGAGGCTGAGGCAAAAGAATCTCTTGAACCTGGGAGGCGGAGGTTGCAGTGAGCTGAGATCACACCACTGTACTCCAGCCTGGGCAACAGAGCGACACTCAATCTCAAAAAACACAAAAAGAAAAGAAAAGAAAACAAAAGAAAAAAGAACACACCCCAGTATACTAATGGAACCAGTGAAACATCTTCCAGGTGCTTTCGGTAATGAAAATAAATGATATAAGTCCTAACTATGAAACAGACTTGGTTAAAATTATAGCTAAAACCATTTTTTTTTTTTTTTTGAGATGGAGTCTCGCTCTGTTGGCTAGGCTGGAGTGCAGTGGCTTGATCTCGGCTCACTGGAACCTCCGCCTTCCGGGGTAAAGCAATTCTCCTGCCTCAGCCTCCCAAATAGCTGTGATTACAGGTGCCCACCACCACACCTGGCTAATTTTTGTATTTTTAGTAGAGATGGGATTTTGCCATCTTGGCCAGGCTGGTCTCGAACTCCTGACTTCAGGTGATCCACCTGGCTCAGCCTCCCAAAATGCTGGAATTACAGGCATGAGCCACAACTCCTGGCCAGCTAAAACCATTTATAAATTATAAAAACACAGTATAGCAGCTGTGAGTGCTGGCTCATGGCTGTAATCCCAGCACTTTGGGAGGCTGAGGTAGGTGGATCACCTGAGGTCAGGAGTTCAAGATCAGCCTGGCCAACATGGTGAAACCCCATCTCTACTAAAAAACACAAAAAATTAGCTGGGCGTGGTGGTGTGTGGCTGTAATCCCAGCTACTTAAGAGGTTGAGGCAGGGTGAGTTCCTAAATTTTAAGGGCAGAGGACTTTGCTGTCAGAGTTGAAAGTTTATTGTAACAGTTACCTTCAGGGGCTGTGGATTTGTAACCTTGAAACAATGGATGCTGCTTATATGAAACTCCTTTTAGTAGACTGTTGTAAGGAAGGGTGTTTGTGCCCTTAAAGCCGTAAACTACTATTTGCCAAGGGCAGTTCAATTTGCTCAGCACACTTAAGATAAATAACCCATTGACTACAAAGTCACTGATTCTATTATAATTAACCATCTGGAATAAAAGAACTGTACATTTTCTTTTTTTTTTTTTTTTTTTTTTTTGAGACAGAATGTCGCTCTTGTTACCCAGGCTGGAGTGCAATGGCGCGATCTCGGCTCACCGCAACCTCCGCCTCCTGGGTTCAAGCAATTCTCCTGCCTCAGCCTCCTGAGTAGCTGGGACTACAGGCACGCGCCACCATGCCCAGCTAATTTTTTTTGTATTTTTAGTAGAGACGGGGTTTCACCACGTTGACCAGGATGGTCTCGATCTCTCGACCTCGTGATCCACCCACCTCAGCCTCCCAAAGTGCTGGGATTACAGGCTTGAGCCACTGCGCCCGGCCGAGAACTGTACATTTTCTTATAGTTAGAAACATTATTTGAAATAATGTTTGCGTGAAATAATGTCTCTTTGCATGAAGTAAGTGTCCTATGATCATGCCACTGTACTGCAGCCTGGGAGACAGAGCAAGGTCCTGACTTTTTCTTTCTTTTTTCCTTTTTTGGGAGACAGGGTCTCGCTCTGTTGCCTAGGCTGGACTGCAGTGGTCTTACAGTTCACTGCAGTCTCCACCTCCTGGGCTCAAGCGATCCTCCCACCTCAGCTTCCACGTAGCTAGGACTACAGGTGTGCACCACCACATCTGGCTAACTTGTAGAGATGTGATTTTGCCATGTTGCCCGGGCTGGATTTTAACTTCCAGGCTCAGATGATCCATCTGCCTCAGTCTCACAAAGTACTGGGATTATAGGCATGAGCCACCCGGCACAGCCTAAGTCCAACTCTTACTAAAAAAAAAAAAAAACATAGCCGGGCACTGTGGCTCACACATCTGTAATTCCAGCACCTTGGGAGGCCAAGGCGGGGGGATTACCTGAGGTTGGGAGTCCGAGACCAACCTGACCAACATAGAGAAACCCTGTCTCCACTAAAAACACAAACAAACAAACAACAACAACAACAAACACCCCCTTCCCCCACAAAATCTTGTTCTTCCATCTTTCCCCCATCTCTATGTCTTACAACTACCCTGAAAAATAGGTATTGGCCACACCCGATTTATACATGAGGAAAGTGAGACTCAGAGAGGTTCTGAGACCTGCCCAAAGTCACACAGTGGCTGAGTACTGAAGTCTGGTTTTGTACCAGCTTTGCTCGGCTCCTGAGGCTATACATTTTACATGGAGCCCTCCTGGCCTTCAGTTGCCTGTGCTAAGAAATGATAGTGTACAATTTACACCTCCCTGTAATCCCAGCAGTCTGGGAGGCCAAGGTGGGCAGATCACCTGAGGTCAGGTATTTGAAATCAGCCAATACAGTGAAACCCCATTTTTACAAAAAATACAAAAATTAGCTGGGCATGGTGGCGGGAGCCTGTAATCCCAGCTACTCAAGAGACTGAGGCAGGAGAATCACCTGAAACTGGGAGGCAGAGGTTGCAGTGAGCCGAGACTACGCCATTGCACTCCAGCCTGGAAGACAGAGTGAGACTCTGTCTCAAAAAAAAAAGAAAAAAAAAATTTACACATCCCAGTGATAGTGGGAAACAGAGGGGTTTGGGGAAGCTGGGAGCCAAGATGGGAGTGGAGTGAGGGGCAGGGGCTTGGTACCTGCAGCAGGGCCAGGGCCCAGGTGAAACGGATTTGACAGCAGCGGAGAGAAGAGCGGGAGGCAAAGACGCCAGCCTGGTACAGCATCTGGTACCTAAGGTGGGGGCAGGGGGTGGGAGGAGGCTCCTCCAGGCAACAACCTGCTACCCCAGGTGCCTACTGGGCAGGGCAGCCCCATCACCACAGCACCTTCCCAGCCCACTGTATCTTGCTCCTCTTACCAGCGGTACTGCTGAGCATGACTCAGGGACGTGTTTCGGAAAAAGAGGAGCTCAAACTGCAGCAAAGACCAGACAGGGGAGATCAACGGGGCCGTGTGGGTCCCAGCCCCAAGCACCACCTCCACACCCCTCCCAGCACCCCTCACTCACAAGTCCCTGGTTGATGAAATACTCAGCAAAGTAAACCACGACCAAGGGGACAATGTACCACAGTAGACCCTGGAAGAGGCGGAAGATCTAAGCGAGGGGCCCGGAGGTGGGTAACCCCCACGGGGACACACCCCAGCCTTCATCCGAACCTTGAACACTGTCCATCTTTCCTGAAAGGAGAGGCTGGAGCTGGAGCCTGCAGGGAAACGGAGAGGGCAGGGCAATAGAGTTTTCACACTGAGAGTCGGCAGAGGCACGGGTGTGCCAGAATTAACCAGACCACGCAGTAGTGGGAACCAAATTACATTCCACTGGATTGGATGCTTAAAATGGTTAAAATGAGGCCGGGTGCGGTGGCTCACACCTGTAATCCCAGCACTTTGGGAGGCCGAGGCGGGTGGATCACAAGGTCAAGAGATCGAGACCATCCTGGTCAACATGGTGAAACCCCGTCTCTACTAAAAATACAAAAAGTTAGCTGGGCATGGTGGCTCGTGCCTGTAATCCCAGCTACTCAGGAGGCTGAGGCAGGAGAATTGCCTGAACCCAGGAGGCGGAGGTTGCAGTGAGCCGAGATCGTGCCATTGCACTCCAGCCTGGGTAACAAGAGCGAAACTCTGTCTCAAAAAAAAAAAAAAAAAAAAAAAAAAATGGTTAAAATGGCCGGGTGCGGTGGCTCATGCCTGTAATCCCAGCACTTTGGGAGGCTGAGGCGGGCGGATCACCTGAAGTTGAGAGTTCGAGACCAGCCTGACCAACATGGAGAAACCCCATTTCTACTAAAAATACAAAATTAGCCAGGCATGCTGGTACATGCCTGTAATCTCAGCTATTCAGGAGGCTGAGGCAGCAGAATCAGTCGAATCCTAGAGGTGAAGGTTGCAGTGAGCCGATGTTGTGCCCTTGCACTCTAGCCTGGGCAACAAGAGCAAAACTGCGTCTCAAAAAAAATAAAATAAGATAAAATAAAATATAAAATGGTAAACACTGAGTAATGTACATAGTTTACCACGATGAAGAAAAAGAGTTAACCAAGTGAGACTTCTTCACATCTCTCTCCCTTTTTTTTAAGATGGTGTCTTACTCTCACCCAGGATGGAGTACAGCAGCACGATCTGGACTCATTGCAACCTCCGCCTCCTGAGTTCAAGCGATTCTTGGGCCTCAGCTTCCTTAGTAGCTGAGATTACAGGTATGCACCACCATACCGGGCTAATTTTTGTTATTTTTAGTAGAGATGGGGTTTCTCCATGTTGGCCACGATGGTCTTGAACTCCTAAACTCAGGTGATCCGCTTGCCTCAGCCTCCTAAAGTGATGGAATTACAGCCGTGAGCCACTGCACCCAGCCAACGTCTCTTGTACAGCTCCACAGCTGGCCATAGGCCCACCCTGCCCAGTCTCACTGGCCCTTCTCTGGTTCTAGAACATCCCAGCTCATCCGCACCACAGGGCCTCAGCACTTGTGACTGGAATGCCTGGCACACGGTAAGAAGGATCTTGCAGTGAGCCAAGATCACGCCACTGCACTCCAGCCTAGTTGACAGAGTGAGACTCCGTCTCAAAAAAAAAAAACCCAAAAAAGGCTGGGCGCGGTGGCTCACGCCTGTAATCCTAGCACTTTGGGAGGCCAAGGTGGGTGGATCACCTGAGGTCAGGAGTCTAAGACCAGCCTGGCCATCATGGTGAAACCTCATCTTAAAAAAAAAAAAAAAAAAAAAAAAAAACAAAAAAAACAGCCGGGTGCGGTGGCTCAAGCCTGTAATCCCAGCACTTTGGGAGGCCGAGGCGGGTGGATCACGAGGTCGAGAGATCGAGACCATCCTGGTCAACATGGTGAAACCCCGTCTCTACTAAAAATACTAAAAATTAGCTGGGCATGGTGGTGCGTGCCTGTAATCCCAGCTACTCAGGAGGCTGAGGCAGGAGAATTGCCTGAACCCAGGAGGCGGAAGCTGTGGTGAGCCGAGGTAGCACCATTGCACTCCAGCCTGGGTAACAAGAGTGAAACTCCGCCTCAAAAAAAAAAAAAAAATTTAGCTCCACAGGAGGAAGCCTTTGTCCATAATTGGAGCTCTCCTTTCTTGTTCTTCCTTCCCTGCCTCCCTCCCTCTCTCCTTTCTTCCTTCTTCTCTTTTTTTTTTTTTTTTTTTTTTGATAAACAGGGTCTTGCTCTGTCGCCCAGGCTGGTTTCAAACTCCTGAGCTCCAGCGATCCTCCTGCCTCAGCCTCCCAAAGTGCTGGATATTACTGGTGTGAGCCACTGTGCTCGGCCTCAATAAGTATTTCTGAAATAGATGAAAGCTTTTCCCATAACCAGTACGCCCACTCTCTTTCCCCGCTGAACCGTGTCCATTGTAGAGAGGAAAAGACCAAACTCAGAGAGAAAGAAAGTGACCTCTCAGAGGGTCTGTGTCTCCTACCTGGCTTCGACTCTGGGGCCTCGGTTCCTATGAGAGGCTGCCGGGCTGCACTCTCTGCCTCTTCTTCCCCTCCAGGGTCCTGGGGCTCAGGAGATGTGAGCAATAAGAAATAGCTAGGAGGAGGAGGAAGGCAAGGTCAGAGAGCCCTACTGGGCTGGGAAGGTCCCAGGAACCATCTAGGCCACTCTTTCCCAGGGGAACACCTCTACTGTTGAACACTTCCAAAGATGGGTTGCTCACTGCCTCTACAGTGCCTGCCCTGTGCTGGAGAGCTCCAATTACGGGCAAAGGCATCCTTCTTTGGAGCCGATTTTTTTTTTTTTTTTTTTTGAGACGGAGTCTCACTGTTGCCTAGGCTGGAGTGCAGTGGCGTGATCTTGGCTCACTGCAACTTCTGCCTCCTGGGTTGGAGCAATTCTCCTGCCTCAGCCTTTCAAGTAGCTGGGACTACAGGCATGTGCCACCACATCTGGCTAATTTTTTATTTTTGTAAAGACAGGGTTTCACCATGTTGGCCAGGCTGGTCTCGAACTCTTGACCTCAAGTGATCTGCCTGCCGCAGCCTCTCAAAGTGCTGGGATTACAGGTGTGAGCCACCGCGCCCAGCTGGAGCTGAATTTATCTCCTTGTTGTTCCTATCCATGGGCCTTTGTTTTGTTTTGATTTCTTTTACAGACAGGGATTTTCTCTGTTACCCAGGCTGGAGTGCAGTGGTTCAATCATAACTCACTGCAGCCTCAGCCTCCAAGGCTCAAGCAATCCTCCTGCCTCAGCCTCCCAAGCAGCTGGGACTACAGGCATGTGCCACCAAGCCCGTCTCATATTTTCAATTTTTTGTAGAGATGGGGGTCTTGCTATGTTGCCCAGGCTGGTCTCAAATTCCTGGCCTCAAGTGGTCCTCCTGCCTCAGCCTCCTAAAGCACTGGGATTACAGGCGTGAGCAGAAGGCCTTTGTTTGGACTGCTGGGTCACACTAAGCAAGTCAGTTATGTTTTCTTGCCATTATTATTCTAATGATTATTCTAGCTCCCATTAATTATACATTTGCTCTGTGCTAGGCCAGAACTTCCTCAATTTTAGTCACTAAGGTTCTGGCGTCACGTTATTTGCCACATCCATATTCCTCCTGTATATAATAATTTTTACTTAATAATTTCCTTGAAACGGACTCACGTTTTCTACCTGGATTTGTCCTAAGCACTAATCTTGTAAAGGGCCAGGTGTGATTGGCTAGTTCAAATTGTTTCCTAATATGCATGAAAATACACACAGAGCTAATCAGGCCAGGTGCAGTGGCTCACCCCTGTATTCCCAGCACTATGGGAGGCCAAGGCAGGCGGATCACTTGAGGTCAGGAGTTCGAGACTAGCCTGGCCAACACAGTGAAACCCTGTGTCTCCTAAAAATACAAAAAATTAGCCAGGTGTGGTGGTACAGGCCTGTAGTCCCAGCTACCCGGGAGGTTGAGGCAGGAGAAGCACTTGAGCCCGGGAGGCTGAGGTTGCAGTGAGCCGATATCACGCCAGCCACTGCACTCCAGCCTGAGTCACAGAGTGAGACTCTGTCTAAAAAAAAAAAGAAGAAAAAAAGAACTAATCAAATAAAGTCCACCCTCATCCTACTTCTGATCACCTTGGGAACCACACTGTGCTGGAAGGCATTACACTCATCGCTTCCCAGGAAAGCAAGAACGATTGCCATTTGAAATATGGAAAAACTGAGGATTCAGAGATGTAGACTGACTTGTTCAAAGCCACACAGCTAAAAACTAGCAGCCCTAAGACTCACACCCAGGGCTATCAGAGTCTGGATTCGGCCTCCCTTCAGAGCAAGGCTACAGGGACATGAAGATGCAATCATGATCAAGTTTTTTATCTTTCTTTTTTTTTTTTCCAAGACAGAGTCTCACTCTGTTGCCCAGGCTGGAGTGCAGCAGTGTGATCTCTGCTCACTGTAACCACTGCCTCCCAGATTCAAGCGATTCTCCTGTCTCAGCCTCCCAAGTAGCTGGGATTACAGGCACCTGCCACCACATCCGGCTAATTTTTGTATTTTTTAGTAGAGACGGGGTTTCACCATGTTGGCTAGGATGGTTTCCTGACCTCAGGTGATCCGCCCTTCTCGGCCTCCCAAAGTGCTGGAATTACAGGCATGAGCCACCGCACACAGTCATGGTCAAGTTTACTCTCCCTGGACCCCTCTCCCTCCTGGCTCAGGGCAGCTCACCTGGCCAACAGCACGGCAGGGACACCCAGCATGGACAGCAGGGTGTGCTGAGGGGAAAGGCCGGCCTGGGTGAGGCCCAGGTAGGACAGGGCCCCCAGCAGCCCAGCTCCCCCGGTTCCTGAGGACCACCAGGAGATCACAGCCCTGGGAAGGAGAACACAGGGGCATTCAGGAGGACCAAGGCCGGCCGTGGGACAGTCTCTCCCCATACTCCGTCCTCCGCCTGCTTACCTGGGGTAGAAGGCAGTGAGGGAGAGGAAGGTGACTTCCCCCAGGCCTGATGAGATGCTAGCCAAGACCACCCCTGGGGGGAGAGAAGCACTGGGATGGTCACACCTCGCCTTGCCGCATTGCCCAGGCCCCTAAGGTGTCTGGCCACGGCCTCCTAGATATCAGCTACAGAGGCTCCAACAGATCCTGCGCACGGGCCAGGTTCCGAGTCTGAAGCAGAGCCCCCATCCTCTGCGAGTCCCTTCATGGAGAGTGGTACCTCCATCCAGCCAGCCATCAGACCGGGGGTAGACAGGCACCCTTGATGTCTCCACCCTTCCATCACAGTCTTTTTCTTTTCTTTTCTTTTCTTTTCCTTTTTTTTTTTTTGAGACAGAGTCTCGCTCCGCTGCCCAGGCTGGAGTGCAGTGATGCGATCTTGGCTCACTGCAACCTCTGCCTCCTGGGTTCAAGAGATCTCCTGCCTCAGCCTCCTGAGTAGCTGAGATTACAGGTGTGTGCCACTACACCCGACTAATTTTTGTGTTTTTGGTAGAGACGGGGATTCACCATGTTGGCCAGGTTGGTTTCAAACTCCAGACCTCAGGTGATCCGCCTGCCTCAGCCTCCCAAACTGCTGGGATTCCAGGCGTGAGACACCGCGCCTGGCCCATCCCAGAGTCTTGGCTCTGTTGACCTCAATCTCTGTCTGATGCATCCAGTTTCTCCCATCTCCTCCACCGCCCAGCCCTTCAAATTGTCCGTCTCCCATCTCCTATGCTGACAGCCCTAGCAGGCTTCTGCGGGTGACAGAATGAATCCCTTTCCTATGGGAGGCTGGGGAGACTCTCCCCACAAATGATCCAATGTGATTCCTCGGGGCCCCCCACCTGGCACAGGACCACACACTCACCACATAGGCTGGTCCCCACGGAATGAGAAAAGGCAACCAGGACAAAGCTTCCAGCAGCACAAATCCCACTGACAAGAACCCGGGGGCTGAGGGGGTGAGAAGGCGAGGGAAGGGGGAGGTCAGCCTCTACTCTCAGCTCCCCAGCCCTCCCAGCTTCCCCACTCTCAGCTCCCGCCTGCCCTGCCTCCCGCCACCCCCACGCAGACCTGTAGGGCAGTAGGTGAAGGCCAAGAGGGGCCAACAATTTGATGACGAGTGTCGGGAGGATGTCCGCCAGGAGCACGGCCTGAGACAGGAGAATAGAGTGAGACCCCAGAGCTTCCAGGGTATAACCCTCCCAGCCACATAGCCAAGGAGAGGCAGGAGCTGGCCAAACAGGTCTGCTGCAAACACAGGCTCTGGAATCAGGCAGAGCTGGGTTCAAGTCTCAGCTCTGCCACTCCTTAGTTGTGTGTCAAGAGTTTATATTCTCTTAGTTTTAATTTCCTTATCTGGAAAATGGGGATATCATAGCGTCTAGCTCACAGGACTGCTATGTGGATTAAATGAGCTAATATATGCTATGTACAGAAACAGCTCAGAAATTTTATATCTATAAACACATTTTGAGACAGAGACAGAGTCTCACTCTGTCGCCCAGGCTGGAGTGTAATGGCTTGATCTCGGCTCACTATAACCTCTGCCTCTCTGGTTCAAGTGATTCTCCTGCCTCAGCCTCCCGAGTAGCTGGGATTACAGGCACGCGCCACCATGCCTGGATAATTTTTGCATTGTTAGTAGAGACGGGGTTTCACCATGTTGGCCAGGCTGGTCTCGAACTCTCGGCCTCAAGTGATCAGCCCACCTCGGCCTCAGAAATTATATTAAGGTCTCAATTATTACATATACATTTTTTTCTTTCTCTCTTTTTTTTTTTTCTTAAGATGGGATCTCACTAGATTGCCCAGGCTGGTCTCAAACTCCTAGGCTCAAGTGATCCTCCCACTGTGGCCTTCTAAAGTGCTGGGATTACAGATGTGAGCCACTACACCTGGCCCAGGTCTCAATTGTTCTCATCATGACAGTCCCAGCTAGGTAGTGAAGAGCTAGGAGTGGGGTCTGCAGACCCAGGGTCCCTGGGTTAGGAGGGGACCAGGTGAGATAAGTACGCACAGCTGTGGAGACAGAGTTGCAGTCAAATCGTGATGAGCTGTTGTCGGGGATGGGCGTTGGGCTTGGGTCCACCTGATGGGAGAGAAGAACATCTTTCACTCTAGGAGGCAGAGGGCTAGACACACAGAGCCTGGCTCCAGTCCCAGCTCTGCCTTCACCTGAAGGATGGCTTTGGGTCAGCAGTGATCGACCTCTCAGGACCTCAGCTTCTCTGCATGCACAATGAAGAGACGGTTTCCATAAGTCTCACCCTACTAGACACGGGCCAAAGATGGCCCTGTAAATGGACTTTGTTTAGGTAACACATTCAAAAGCTTTTTTTTTTTTTTTTTTTTTTTTTAATGCAGTCTTACTCTGTTGCCCAGGCTGGAGCGCAGAGGCGTGATCTTGGCTCACTGCAACCTCCGCCTCCCAGTTCAAGCAATTCTCCTGCCTCAGTGCCCTGAGTAGCTTGGACTATAGGTGTGCACCACCATGCCCAGCTAATTTTTGTATTTTTAGTAGAGACTGGGTTTCACCATGTTGGCCAGGATGGTTTCCTGACCTTGGGTGATCCACCCTCCTCAGCCTCCCAAAGTGCTGGGATTACAGGTGTGAGCCACTGAGCCCAGCCTCAAGGGCTTTCATATAGAAATACAGGTTGCCAGAAAATCTGATCTTGGACCTACCAGGTGGTGGCTGCTCCCTTTGGATGGGACATGCATGCCCCAGCTTACCACAGACAGGTGGTTCTCAACCAAGGGCAGTACCACCCCGCCAGGGAACATTTCGCAATGTTTAGAGACATTCTTGGTTGTCACTACTAGGGGTCACAGGGTGTGCTACTGGCATTGAATGGGTAGAAGCCAGGGAGGCTGCTAAATGTCTCACAATGCACAGGAGAGCCCCACAACAAAGACTCACCCTTCCCAAAATGTCACATCGCCCAGGTTAAGAAACCCTGCTGTAGATGACTGTCTCACCTGGCCAATGTTGAAGTTCGCAAAACTGGTGCCCACGAATCTCTTCAATTCCCTTCCTGCTCTGGGGGTCTGGGAGACTGGAAACTTTTTTTTTTTTTTTTTTTTTGAGACTGAGTCTCCCTTTGTCACCCAGGCTGGAGTGCAGTGATGTGATCTTATGACGTGATCTTGCCTCACTGCAACCTCCGCCTCCTGGGTTCAAGCAATTCTCCTGCCTTAGCCTCCCGAGTAGCTGGGATTACTGGTGCCCACCACCGTGTCCAGCTCATTTTTTTTGTATTTTTAGTAGACAAGGGGTTTCGCCATGTTGGTCAGGCTAGTCTTGAACTCCTGACCTCAGGTAATCCACCCGTCTTAGCCTCCCAAAGTGCTGGGATCACAGGCATGAGCCACCACGCCCAGCCAGAGACTGGAAACTTTAGCCCCTTTGTCCCACCCCATTCCATGAGTTTTTCAAGGGGGCCTCTGTCCCACGTCCTCATCTTCCCACAGGGACTAACCATGGTGGTGGTGGTAGAGAGAGGGTCACTTACATGGCTCTGGTTTCCTGACGTCCTCTCGTGGCTAAGGATGTCATGGGCGGCACTCAGCATCACCACGTAAGAGAAATTGTTGCAAAGACCCAGCAGCCTGAAAGGAACAGGGCAGGTCTCAACTCCCTTTGGATCCTGCAGACACCTGCAGCCTTCATGCCAAGTCTCCCCTTACCTGTGCCCTTCAATCAGCTCCCTCTTTTTTTTTCTCTTGCACCAGATCCCATCCTCATTCAGTGCTGGGGTCAGAAATACCGGCTTTGGTGCTTGGGCAACATAGTGAGACCCCTGTCTCTACAAAAAATTTAAAATTTAGCCAGGTGTCGTGGCTCGCACTGTATCCCAGCTACTTGGGAGGCGGAGGGGGAGGACTGCTTGAGTCTAGGAGTTAGAGGCTGCAGTGACCTGTGATCATGCCACTGCACTCCAGCCTGGGTGACAGAGCAAGACCCTGTCACAAAAATAAAAAATAAAAAGGAAGAAATAGGGGCTTTGGGATCTCAGACTTGGATTCACTTCCTGCCTCTAAGACCTCTCCTGGAGGCTCTCTCCGACCACTCTCTCCTCTGAGCTCCCACTGGGACTCAGTTCCTAAGGCATTTCTCATCCTCTGCCACACTGCAGTACAGTAAGAAAAGAAAAAATCCCGGGGCAGCCAGGTGCGGTGGCTCACACCTGTAATCCCAGCACTTTGGGAGGCCAAGGCGGGCAGATGACTTGAGGCCAGGAGTTCGAGACCAGCCTGGACAACATGAAACCCTGTCTCTACTAAAACTACAAAAATCAGTTGGTCATGGTGGCTGGAGCCTGTAATCCCAGCTACTTGGGAGGCTGAGGCAGGAGAATCACCTGAACCAGGGAGGCAGAGGGTGCAGTGAGCCAAGATCACGCCACTGCACTCCAGACTGGGCAACAGGGCAAGACTCTTGTCTCAAAAAGATAGAAAAGAAAAGAAAAAAATCCTGGAGCTGGAAATTGAAGGGACTGTGTGCAAGTCCCAAGTCTGCCTCTTCCCACTTTCTCAGTCTACTCATGTGTAAAATGGGGATACAAATTTCTCTCCTGACTACCCCACAAGATGCTGCATGGATCAAAACAAGATAAGACCAAAGGCCTTTAGGATCCAGGAAGGTTCTGTCTGCTTACTCTCATCTCCCAGGGCTGCACTCAGCAATGGGAGGGAATCTGGGTCTCATGCCACAGATTTCATCAGGGGCCTTTTCATAAGCCTTTGAAGTAGAATTACAATACTACTCTTCCCATTTGACTGTTGAGGAACCAGGCTTAGAGAGGTTAAGTGACTCCTCATGGGAAGAGTACATGGGAAGTACATGGGAAGCCACTTCCAACCCAGTCTGGAAGTGGGTTGAGGACCCAAGTCCTCAACGTTTAGGTTAATGCTAAAAGTATTTCCCGATGCTCTGTATTTGAATAAGTTTTGAAGGTGGATGGATGGATGACCTTTAAAAAAGTTTTAGGGGGCCAGGTGCGGTGGCTCAAGCCTGTAATCCCAGCACTTTGGGAGGCCGAGGTGTGTGGATCATGAGGTCAAGAGATCAAGACCATCCTGGTCAACATGGTGAAACCCCATCTCTACTAAAAATACAAAAAATTAGCTGGGCATGGTGACACATGCCTGTAATCCCAGCTACTCAGGAGGCTGAGGCAGGAGAATTGCCTGAACCCGGGAGGCGGAGGTTGCAGTGAGCCGAGATTGCGCCATTGCACTCCAGCCTGGGTAACAAGAGAGAAACTCTGTCTCAAAAAAAAAAAAAAAAAAAATTTTAGGGTTGGGTGTGGTGGCTCAGCCTGTAATCCCAACACTTTGGGAGGTGGAGGAAGGCAGATCACAAGAGATCAGGAGTTCGAGACCAGTCTGACCAACATGGTGAAATCCCATCTCTACTAAAAATACAAAAATTAGCTGTGTGTGGTGGCACATGCCTGTAATCCCAGCTACTCGGGAGGCTGAGACAGGAGAATAGCTTGAACCTGGGAGGCAGAGGTTTCGGTGAGCTGAAACCAGGCAACTGCACTCCAGCCTGGGTGACAGAGTGAGACTCTGTCTCAAAAATAAAATAATAAAATTAAATAAAATAAAAAAGTTTTAGGCCCAGCACGGTGGCTCATGCTTGTAATCTCAGCACTTTGGGAGGTTGAGGTAGGAGGATCACTTGAGACCAGGGGTTGGACACCAGTCCAGGTCCCAAAGTGAGATCCCATCTCTATAAAAAATAAAAAAAATTAGCCAGGTGTGGTAGTGCACACCTGTAGTCACAGCTATTTGGAGGAGGAAGTGGGAGGATCACTTGAGCCCAGGAGTTGCAGGCTTCAGTGGGCTGTGACTGCACCACTGCATTCCAACCTGGGCAACAGAGTAAGACCCTGGCCCAAAAAGAAAAAAATAATAATAGGATAAAATAAATTAAAATAAAAAGTTTTAGTAGTGATGCATTTATTTAAATGTTGATTAGGAAAATACTGGTTTTCCATGTAGAGTAGTGATTTAAAGTTTTCTTTTTAAAAATACATGCATTAAAAAACTTCAAGGCTGAAATGGCTGGAGGAAAAACACAAGTAAATAATCCTACAGGTGGTATGAGAATGTGGCCATATCCGGAAGATGATAAGAAATGAAGTTTGGAAAATTTACATGCTGCCTGGGGGCAAACCAGTGGATTCGGTAAATCTTTGTGGGTTCTGTTCCTGTGAGTAGCTCAACTCTTTCTTCCCCCTGTCCTCCTGTCACTTCCCTCTTCCTACGCCATCGTCACTTTTGCTGAACTCTCAGGCCACTCACCAGAAGCCCACCGCGTTCTTCCAATGCGCACTCTGACGGTCCAACAGAGGGAGCCGGGGCTCTGGGACGGTCTCCTCCCCTGGGAGAGTGAGAAGAGGGCATGACCCCTACCCACTCTCAGGCACGACGGCTCCATGCGTGTCCTCCCGGGGCCGAGTCAGCTCTCACTTCCCTCGGGTGGGCTGCGAGCCAGAGGTGGTTGCTCCCAGGAAGGTGGGCAGGAATACTCACCCTCGGAATCCGAAAGGCGCCGCCGCGAGCCCGCACAGCCTCCCATGGCACCAAGTTCAGGTCCCCCAAGGGTCCAGGGTCACAAAGTGTCCAGAGGGGGCTCCCACGGGAGGGATGAGGGTCTGTGACAGGCGACAAGGATCAACGTCCGATTGTCGGTCCCAGCTCCGGCTTGTCTGCGGCGCTCGCGCCCCGCGATCCATCAAGGAAGCCCGGGACTCCATCTCGCGCGCCCCACGACCCACCACACTCCACCACGCCCCACCCATCGGACTCTGCCCCCGCCCCGTCTACAGCAGGGACCCTGCCGCCTGTACCTTTAAGAGCAGCAGAACGTTCGGCACAGTGAGGAGGCAGGTTGTCGCGTCACGTGACAGCACCCGCGTGTTCCCCCATCACGTGCTCGGAGGTCCTCCCTACTTCCGGGTCCTCTCTGTCTTCGCTTTGGGCCTTCTCAGCCTTAGAGCATGAGAAAGGAAGAAGCCGGAGAACCTTGGAACCGCAGGTTTTAAACTGGAGCGGGTGGGAGCAGCAAGCAGAGCCATGACCTTAGATCAACGGCGCCCAAGACCTAGACGGTATCCTGCCAGCACTAGTCGTGGCTGCGGGAGGCTTCAGCTCGTTTTTCTTCAGTGCTCACTTGCCAGAAACAAATATGGCTACCTGCCTACTCCTCCACCCCCCCGCCCCACCTTTTGTTTTTTTTGTTTGTTTGTTTGTTTGTTTTTGAGACGGAGTTTCGCTCTTGTTACCCAGGCTGGAGTGCAATGGCGCGATCTCGGCTCACCGCAACCTCCGCCTCCTGGGTTCAGGCAATTCTCCTGCCTCAGCCTCCTGAGTAGCTGGGATTACAAGCACACGCCACCATGCCCAGCTAATTTTTTTGTATCTTTAGTAGAGACGGGGTTTCACCATGTTGACCAGGATGGTCTCGATCTTTTGACCTCGTGATCCACCCGCCTCAGCCTCCCAAAGTGCTGGGATTACAGGCTTGAGCCACCGCGCCCGGCATTTTTTTTTTTTTTTAAGACAGGAATGTTTTGGTTGCGAACAAAAACAATCAGCTTCAGATCATTCTTATTCCCATCTGTTGCCCTTACAAATTATTTTGGAGACCTAAATAATAACCCACCTAAGGGGTTTTCATGAATTATCTGTTGACAGTATCCAAAATGTTAAGAGATTCCCTTTTCCAAATTATCCTAGAACCAAAAATTATCACGGCGGTTCAACCCCCGGTGTTACAGATGAGAAAACCAAGGTACAAATATATATATATATATGCATGTACAACAAAAAGTAGCTGGGCATGATGGCGCATGCCTGTCTGTAGTCGTAGGTACCTTGGAGGCTGAAGTGGGAGGATCACTGTCCCTAGGAGGTTGAAGCTACAGTGAGCTATGATCGCGCCACTGCACTCCAGCCTGGGCGACAGAGATCCTGTCTAAAAAAAAAAAGAAAAATGTAAAAAGAAAAGAAGATATATATATGAAAAAAATTGGAAAGTTGCTGATGATCATGCAATATTAGACCTAAAGGTGACCTTAGAGACCTGTATGGTGATAAGAAATAGAGCACCAGAGGCAGGAAGCCATTGGGTTGGCTGTAGGCTGCTGCAGGATTCCTGCTCCATCAAAGTTGGTGCTTCGACCCGATTTTTTTTTTTTTTTTTTTTTAAGACGGAGTTTCGCCCTTGTTACCCAGGCTGGAGTGCAATGGTGCGATCTCGGCTCACCGCAACCTCCGCCTCCTGGGTTCAGGCAATTCTCCTGCCTCAGCCTCCTGAGTAGCTGGGATTACAGGCATGTGCCACCATGCCCAGCTAATTTTTTGTATTTTTAGTAAAGACGGGGTTTCACCATGTTGACCAGGATGGTCTCGATCTCTTGACCTCGTGATCCACCTGCCTCGGCCTCCCAAAGTGCTGGGATTACAGGCTTGAGCCACTGCGCCCAGCCTCTTTTTTTTTTTTTTTTTTTAAACACAGAGTCTCGCTCTGCTGCCTAGGCTGGAGTGTAGTGGCAGGATCTTGGTTTGCTGTAACCTTGACCTCCCAGGCTCAGGCAATCCTTCCACCTCAGCCTCCCGAGTAGCTGCGACAGCAGGTGCGCACCACTGTGCCCAGTTGATTTTTGTACTTTTTGTAGAGACAGGATTTTGCCATGTTGCCCAGGCTGGCCTCGAACTCCTGGGCTCAAGCAATCCACCCGCCTCAGCCTCCCAAAGTGCTGTGACTACAGGTGTAAGCCACCGCACTCCGCCAGACTAAATTATTTTAATTAAGGCCTAAGATTCTGATTCTGTGATTTCATCCAATTGCCCTAATTGGAATAGGAAAGTGGGGCTTGGGAGGAGAGAAGGAGGGTATGGGAAGAGTTGTAGAGCAAGGTCACTGTGTAGTTCCAAATAAGGAGTCATACCCTTACCTTCCTCTAGGTGGGGAGCGGCATCCTGCATTCTCTTGTCCTTGACTCATCTCCGCTGTGTGCTGTGTCACCTCTAACTGCTCTTTCTTACCACCAGGCCTTCAGAATGCTGTTTGAAATGTGCCCTCTGGCGGGACGAGGTGGCTCAGGCCTGTAATCCCTGCACTTTGGAGGCCAAAGTGGACCGATCACCTGAGATCAGGAGTTCAAGACCAGCCTGGCCAAGGTGGTGAAAACCCCATTTACACTAAAGATAAAAAAATTATCCAAGCGTGGTGGTGCACACCTGTCATCCCAGCTACTTAGGAGGCTGAGGCAGGAGAATCATTTGAATCTGGGAGGCAGACCCAAGATCTTACCACTGCATTCCAGCCTGGGTGACAGAGTGAGACTCAGTCTCAAAAAATAAAAAGGAAAATAAAAAAGAAAAATGTGACCCCCTCCCCTTTAGGGTTAAAAAAAAAAATCCTGAGGCGACAGGAAGTGATGGGTCACACCTATAATCACAGCACTTTGGGAGGCCTGCCTCTGGGACTCCAAAGGCCAGGTGGGGAGGGGAGGAGGCCTCCCATGTCACTCAGCTGATGGAAAGTGGAATCCTATTACCTATGCAGGGCTCTAGAAATGCAGCAGCATATCATACGTGGCATCTGCCATCAGGGAAGTCGCAGGAAGGTGGGAGGAAGACACAGGTAAGGCTACAGTACAAAGTTTAGCCAAGTTCTCTCTTGCGAGGCTAATCATAGATGAGGGGTTGTGCCCTGGAGTCACCAATCCAGCCCCTTCCGCCTCTCAGGGAAGCAGTGATGACAGTGAAATGTGTCAGAGCTCCCAACAGCACCCTATTCACTGCTGCTCTTACTCCTCAGGCAAAACAGGAACCACAAACCCCAGCTTCCTCTCGCAGAGGGTCTGCGGCTTGTAGGGGAGACGGAAATGGCTGAGGTGTGGATACAAGACCTGAGTCACTTGAGCTGCCATTGCCACATGTCCCCTCCCTCCCCCTTGCCCATTCCCAGCTCTAAGGACTCCTGCTTCCACCTTGGCCTTTCTGGCCTCTCCCTTGCCCTTTATTTCCAAACGAGCGCCTGAGTCCCTGTGTGATGTTCACCCATTTTCAAGGCTGCGGCGGGGGTTGCTGTGGGCATCGGGGGCCAGGGGCAGGGCCCAGGGTGGGGACGTGTCAGGGAGACACAGGGGAAGAGGAAGTGTCTTGCGTCCTGGGGAAGACTGGCTTGTCTTGGTGGGTGGGGACAGTCATTATCAGCTTTCTGGACGCACGGACAGAGACAGACAGGATGGACTTTCTCCGGCTACACCTCCCTGGGCTGCACCAGGCCTTGAGGGGGGCACTGGTGAGAGGGGCAAAGAGCTGCCCGAGACTTGCACCCCGTTTCCTGGGGCCTCACCTCTGGGCACCTCCCCTGGGGCCTTACCTTTCCCCTCCTCCCTTTGATCTCCTCAGACTGGAGATTGCTTTCTTGGGATCAGGCAGCCTCCGGCCTAATCAATATCAGTCCCCAACCCCACACCAGCATCCTCATACCCCTAATCGCCGCCCTTTCTGGCTACTTCTGCAAATCCTCTTCTCCCAGATCCCAGGACCCTCTTCCTTAACCTGGGCTTCTCCAGCCAGGGCCCCCCGGGAAAGCACTGGGACTCCCCTTAATGCCTCTCCCCTCCTTCTTTTTTTCTAGGATTCCCTTGGCACCTTTGTCGCCTACCTCTTGGGAGATGCAGTCCCCACTGTAGAGCCGGAGGCGCGGGCGGCTGAGGAATTGGGGGCGGTGGCAGTGGGAAGGACAGGGAAGACTGTAGAAGAGGAAGCCCAGGAGGCCCTGGAGGGCCAGAGAGGTGGCCAAAGCCAGGGGGCCGGACGGCTGAGAGGGCCTGGGGAGGACGGAAGACGTGAAGCCGGGAGCTCAGCTGTGGAACAGACCCGGAGCTGGGGAGATGGCAGCTCCCATGGGTCCCAAGCAGAGAGGCAGGACAGTGGGGCTGGGGAGGCAGCCAAGGCAGCCAGGTGCCAGGAGCCAAGTGCCCCCTTGGAGGCCAGAAAGAAGTCCAAGGTAGGGTCTGGGGCTTGCCAAGACCGGAGCGGCCAGGCCCAGGAGAGGCAGGAGCCCGATGAAAAGGAAGTGAACAGAGAGGAGAGGCTGAGAGCCTGGGAACAGGAGGAGGAGGAGGAGGAAGAAGAGGTCAGGGCAAGACAGCCAGGGATGGCCAGAGGGGTGGAGTCAGAGTGGACCTGGCACAGGGAGCGGGAGGGGAAGGCTGGTGCTGGGACAGAGGTGGCGGGGGACGACCTGGGTACTGAGCAGGGGATCGGGGAGGCAGAGGCCGAGGAATCCGAGGGGCCCGGGGCTGAAGGGGCTGGGAAGGGAGAAGAGGTTGTGGTGGTGGAGGAGGCCCGTGAAAGCAGAAAGGCACAGGGGACACGGGGCCCAGGGGCACAGCCTGAGGACTGGACAGCCTTAGGCAGAGAGGAGCCCAGGACAACTCCAGGTAGGGAGGAGGCCAGGATAATTTTAGATGGGGAGGAAGCCAGGACAGCCTCAGGCCAGGAGGAGGCCGGGACAATCTCAAGCAGGGAGGAGGCAGCCTCAGGAGGGGAGGAGGCCGGGATAGCCTCAGGAGAAGAGGAGGCAGCCTCAGGAGGAGAGGAGGCTGGGATAGCCTCAGGAGAAGAGGAGGCAGCCTCAGGAGGGGAGGAGGCCGGGATAGCCTCAGGAGAAGAGGAGGCAGCCTCAGGAGGGGAGGAGGCTGGGATAGCCTCAGGAGAAGAGGAGGCAGCCTCAGGAGGAGAGGAGGCTGGGATAGCCTCAGGAGGGGAGGAGGCAGCCTCAGGAGGGGAGGAGGCTGGGATAGCCTCAGGAGAAGAGGAGGCAGCCTCAGGAGGGGAGGAGGCCGGGATAGCCTCGGGAGGGGAGGAGGCAGCCTCAGGAGAAGAGGAGGCAGCCTCAGGAGGGGAGGAGGCTGGGATAGCCTCAGGAGAAGAGGAGGCAGCCTCAGGAGGGGAGGAGGCAGCCTCAGGAGGGGAGGAGGCAGCCTCAGGAGGGGAGGATGCTGGGATAGCCTCAGGAGAAGAGGAGGTAGCCTCAGGAGAAGAGGAGGCAGCCTCAGGAGGGGAGGAGGCTGGGATAGCCTCAGGAGGGGAGGAGGCAGCCTCAGGAGGGGAGGAGGCCGGGATAGCCTCGGGAGGGGAGGAGGCAGCCTCAGGAGAAGAGGAGGCAGCCTCAGGAGGGGAGGAGGCCGAGACAACCTCAGGAGAAGAGGAGGCAGCCTCAGGAGGAGATGAGGCCGGGATAGCCTCAGGAGGAGAGGAGGCCAAGACAGCCTCAGGAGGGGAGGAGGCAGCCTCAGGAGGGGAGGAGGCCGGGACAGTCTCAGGAGGCAAGGAGGCCTGGACAACCTCAGGCAAGGAGGAGGCTGACTTCTTAGGAGTCAGAGAGACAGAATATGGAGCAATCCCAGGAGAAAGGCTCCTAGAGGCTACTGGAAAAGTCTGGGTCCTAGAGGAGGAGAGGGATGAGGAAAGAGAGGCTGAGGTGAGCCCTTTCCCCAAACAGGCCCAGGCCCTGGGCACTGAGAGAATGGAAGAGGCCGCTGAGAGCCAGACAGCAGGGAGGGAGGCTGTGGGAGGCCAGGAGGCAGGGGAGAGCTTTGAGGATCAGGTCGACCTGCGTGGGAAGGAGGCTGAGGTGAGTCAGCACTTGGAGATCAGGGCTGACCGGGCCGGGCTGGAGGAGGTGGTACAGGCAGAGGAGGCCCGGGAGGAGAGAGGGAGCGGCGGGGACCCAGCGGCTGAGCTGCCCTCGGATGGAGAGGCTGAAGGAGCTGCTGACTTGGAGGCAACCCCAGAGGCCAGGCCTGAGGAGGAGCTCACAGCGGAGGAGAGTGAGGCAGCCCAGACCAGCTGCAGCGCCCTGGGGGTGGAGTGGGGTGGCCTCACACACGGGGTCTCCAAAGGCCAGGAGCCTGAGCTGATGGGGGGCGCCCAGACCCCAACCAAGCAACCCGAGGAAGGGTGGGCAGGCGAGGCGGAGATCTGGGAGGGTCTCACCCTGAGCAAAGAGCAGAGGAGCCTGGAGGCAGGTCCCAGGCTCATGGGGTTTGTAAAGCCTGAGGCCTCCGAGGCCTTCCCAGGAAATGCCCAGGAGGAAGCGGCCCATGGTGAGCAGCAGGAGGAGGCGGCTGCAGGAGGCCAGACCCCGGAGGCTGAGGCCGAAGGAGGCCGAGAGTCTGAACTGCCAGAAGTCCCAGAGGCAGGTGGGGAGGGGCCGGCCTCCAAACACACGGGGTGTGGAATTGAGGAGGGAGAGATGTCTGTCTCAGAGAACCAGGAGCTGCATGGAAGCACAGGGGCAGCCTCAGGGCCGGGCTGGTCACTGGGAGAGGCCTATACCAGGGAAACCAAGGCTGGGGAGGTGGAGGCCGATGGAACGCCCGGGAGAGGCTGGAGGCTGCAGGCGGCAGCTGTGGGCTTCCTTGACCGTGAGGACACACAGACCGGCTCCGTGGCTGCTGAGATTACAGGGGGTGAGGGGGTCCCAGATGTCAGCGCTGCTGGTGCTGGTGAAGCTTTGGAAGGGGTGCTTGGACGAGGATGGGACTCGAAAGAAAGTGGGGAGGCAGCGGTGGGAGAAGATGCAGGTGGGCAGGAGTTTGGCCTGGAGGGGTCAACAGAGGAAGAGGTGGCTGGCAGAGGCGGCCCAGCAGAGGCTTTTGAGGCCAGGGAGGGAGAGCATGGGGAAGGGCAGGTAGAGGCCGGGGAATCTGCAGGTGCAGAGGACAGCTGTGGGCTGGATGGTGCGGGCTCCCACACAGCGAGGGCAGAGGGGACAGGAGCCATGGTGGAGGCTGGGGGGCTTTTAGAAGAGTGGACGCTGTTGGAAGAAGAGGCTGCGGGATGGCGAGAACAGAGGGAATACAGTAAGGGGCGGCATGGGGATCACCACCCCGAGGCAGAGCCACCAAGGCTCCCTGATGCAGAGGGGCTCACGGTGACTGGGGGCCAGAGGGCAGGGGCCGAGGAGACTAAGCCAGAAAGCCTGGAGGACATCAGGGGCCAGGAGGAGTGGCCGACATGCCAGGCCCCTGCAGAAGCTGCACCGGGGTCACTTGGAAATGTGGAGACAGCTGAGGCCATCGGCAGTGCCAGAGGAGATGCTGCCAGCAGCTGGAGCGAGGTGAGGGCTCCTGATGGGGTCTGGTGGGGACCGAGTGGAATCCCCAAGCTGACCCCATGGTCCTCCGTGCCCCTTTTCCTGCAGGCTCTGCTCCCCGGATCCCTCCTAGATGTCTCTGTCCCAAGGAGCCGCGTGCACCTCTCGAGAAGCTCCTCGCAGCGTCGCTCACGGCCCTCTTTTCGTCGGACCCCGGCCCTGGAGCAGCAGGAGGAGCCCCCATTCCCCAACCCTTCCGAGGAGGAGGAGCCGTCGGCCCCTGAGCAGAGACTCCTCCAGCCGGAGGAACCCCCTGAGCCAAGCCCTCCGAGGCATGATGGGACCCCGGTGCCAGCTAGGAGAAGGCCCCTGGGACATGGGTAGGCACAGGGTGACTCAGTGGGGGTGGGGAAGAGACCTTGTGCACCTGGGGAGCTGTTCTCACGGGTCCGACTTATGCCTCCAGGTTTGGCCTCGCACACCCTGGCATGATGCAGGAGCTGCATGCCCGTCTGGGCCGGCCCAAGCCTCAGTGACTGAGACCCGACACCCTGGAAGCCAGGCCCTGGGTGGGGACCAGAAGCCTCACTTGGACGCCACTGAGCCCTGCTCCCTCTGCCACTGTGGACGCATCCTCTCCACCCTCTGGGCCTCAGTGTCTTGGTGTATCATTCATGGAGCAGGCAAAACCAGATGTCTGGGAAGACCTTGAACTTGAGTCTGATTCTCCAGTGCCGGCTGATGGCCCACCTATCCCACTGAGACCAACTCTCAGGGTTCCTGCCCTGGTTCCTCCCCAGCCTGAGTCAGCTGTCTGGACTGCAAGGAGGCCAGGTACAGGGTCTCACGCCTGTCACCCCAAAGCTTTGGGACGCCAAGGTAGTAGGATCGCTTGAGACCAGGAGTTTGAGATCAGCCTGGGCAACATAGCGAAAGACCCCATCTTTTAAAAACAAAATTGAAAAATAAAGACTGCAAGGAAGACTGAGAGGGAACAGAGACCATTCTTACAGGTGTCCCTCTCTGACTCCCGCTCCCCAGCCCACCTCTCTGCACCAAGACCCTCAGAACTGGGTGGGGTAACATAGACCTCTGGAGTCAAGGCCAGTCCAAAGGAAAGCGGTTAGGAGGGCGTAAGGAGCACTGTTCAGAGTCAAAGACGAGCTGCCTTGAGCTTCCAAAATGGTAGCTCAGAACTCTGCTGGTTACTGCGGCAACTGCCTGGCTGAGCAGGACATAGTAGGGAAGGTGGGCCAGGGACCCCAAAAATGTAGGAGCAGAGAGGGGTTCAGGATGGTTAGAGGTTGCTGACCCCATTCCAAGCTGCGCTGCCCTCTGGGTGTCAGGCACCCCTTCCCCGAAAAGAATCGGAGGCCAGGGGTGTGTGAGAGTGTTTTATTTTTTTTATTTTTTTTTATTTTTTTATTTTTATTTATTTATTTTTTTTGAGACGGAGTTTCGCTCTTGTTACCCAGGCTGGAGTGCAATGGCACGATCTCGGCTCACCGCAACCTCCGCCTCCTGGGTTCAGGCAATTCTCCTGCCGCAGCCTCCTGAGTAGCTGGGATTACAGGCACGTGCCACCATGCCCAGCTAATTTTTTGTATTTTTAGTAGAGACGGGGTTTCACCATGTTGACCAGGATGGTCTCGATCTCTCGACCTCGTGATCCACCCGCCTCCACCTCCCAAAGTGCTGGGATTACAGGCTTGAGCCACCACGCCCGGCTAATTTTTTGTATTTTTAGTAGAGACGGGGTTTCACCATGTTGACCAGGATGGTCTCGATCTCTTGACCTTGTGATCCACCCGCCTCGGCCTCCCAAAGTGCTGGGATTACAGGCTTGAGCCACCGCGCCCGGCCCGAGAGTGTTTTATTAGGCACCCAGCATCCCTGGAGGACCAGCAGGCCCCGAGACAATAAATAAACCATCATCTCCCTAAACAATAAATAAGTATCCAGGAAATAAATAGCTGGCGAGGACTGGAGGGGCTTTCAGTTAGTGGGTAGCGCCTGGGGCAGCAGGCTGGAACAGCCTTTCCTTGTCCAAGGCTGATGATGCGGAGGCTGCCCTGATGCCAAGACTCCAATCCTAAAGTCCTAAAGGGTGAGGGGCAGGGGGCTAAGAAACCACCCGATCAGGGCTGGGGACCCAGTGTTGGGAACTCCAGGGCCTGGACTGGGTGCCCGGCCTTGGACAGCAACAGCAAGTCCCGCACGGCCCGAGATAAGACGAGCTCCAAGGAGTGCAGCAGGCGGTAGGTGGAGAGGAGCTGGGGCCAGGACACCTTCGAGGCACTGCCCAGTGCCCCTGGGAGCAGCCCCTTCCCTTCCTCCTCCTTCTCCTCCTCCTCCTCCTCCTCTTCCAGGAGGTGAAATCCTGCAGCCCGAATCTGTGAGGAGAGACCATGGGTCAGGGAGGGGCCAGGCAGGGAACTGGACTGAATCCTGATTCCCTATTCGTGCCGAGCGGCTCCTAATGACGTCAGTGACCATAAGGTCAGGATTTCCCGGGGATATTTCCTACGTGATCTTCCATGATGTCACCGGCTAGCGCATTCTGCTTGATCTTTCGGTTTGAGAAAATGGAAGTCAAGGAGCATGAAGATGCTCACAGAGCTAGGTCACCCCAAGGACGGCCCTGGGAGTGTGGCTCAGGAAGTTTCTCTCTGCTGTTAAGGTTGCTCCTGGGTCGGGCCAACAACAGGCAGAGGGTGACATAGCTCAGTTTCCCTGCTGCTTGCTCCTTCCTTTTTTTTTTTTTTTTTTTTTGAGATGGAGTCTCACACTGTCGCCCGGGGTGGGGGTGCAATGGCACGATCTCGGCTCACTGCAACCTTCACCTCCCAGGTTCAAGCGATTCTCCTGCCTCAGCCTCCTGAGTGGCTGGGATTACAGGCACCAGCTACCATGCCCAGCTAATTTTTTGTATTTTTTTTTTTTTTTAGAAGAGATGGGTTTCACTATGTTGGCCAGGCTGGTCTTGAACTCCTGACCTCATGATCCACCCGCCTCAGCCTCCCAAAGTGCTGGGATTACAGGTGTGAGCCACTGCACCCTTCCCCTCCCCTTCCTTCCCCTTTTGTTCCCTCCCCTCCTCTCCCCTTCCCTTCCCTTCTGTCTCTCTCTGTCACTCAGGCTGGAGTGCAGTGGCGCTATCTCAGCTCACTGCAACCTCTCTCCCCAGTTCAAGCAGTTCTCCTGCCTCAGCCTTTCGGGTAGCTGAGATTACAGACATGCTCCACCACACCCAGATAATTTTTGTATCTTTAGAGATGGGGTTTTACCATGTTGGCCAGGCTGGTCTCGAACTCCTGACCTCAAATGATCCACCCGCCTTGGCCTCCCAAAGTGCTGGAATTCCTGGCGTGAGCCACCACACTTGGCCCTGCTGCTTGCATTTTCTATTCTCATTTCATTAAGGGTAAAATTCTGATTTCCCTTTGAAAGGTTCTGGAGGATCTGGGTGACGTCAGAGAATCAGAGGGAGAAGGGAAACAGGAGGCAGATGCTGTGCGGGGTGCTCAGGACAAACTCCAAGTGACCTCACAGCCCAATGGCCTGTTCAAGATGGAGCCCCAGGAGAATTCAAAGATTAAGGGGTGGCACCAGGGCCTGGTGCGGCTGCACACACACACACGCACACTCTCTCTCTCTCTCTCTCTTTCTGTCACTCACATTCATAGACCAACACACTCACACACAGTCATGCTCACACTCACACTCAGAGCTACACACACAGTCACACTCTCACACGAACCCACACACACATAGTCACGTTACACTCACACACACAGACCCCATACTCACACACAGTCACACTCACAAACTCAGTCATGCTCACACACTCACAGACCCACACACTCACAGTCACACACAGTCACGCTCAAACACAGCCACACACTTACACACTCACACTCACGGACCCACACATACACTCTCACACTTACAGACCCACAAACACACAGTCTCACAGTCACACACTCACACTCATGGACCAACATACACAGTCATGCTCACACTCACACTCACAGAGCCACACACACACAGTCATACTCTCACACTCATGGACCCACACACTCACACATAGTCATGATCACACTCACACGCACAGACCCCACACTCACACACTCACAGTCACACTCACACAGTCATGCTAACACATTCACAGAGCCACACACACACTCAGTCACGCTCACACTCTCACACAGACACACAGTCACACTCACATTCACACTCATGGACTCACCCACTCACAGCCACACTTACATGCACAGACCCACACACTCACACACACTCAAGACTCCCCCCCACTCGCACACTTATGGACTCACCCACTCAGCCATGCTCACATGCACAGACCCACACACACACACACACACAATCACACTCACACTCAAGACCCACACACACTCACACACTTATGGACTCACCCACACACTCACACACAATCACACTCACACTCAAGACCCCCCCATACTCACACACTTATGGACTCACCCACTCACAGTCACACTCACAGGCACAGACCCACCCACACACAATCACACTCACACTCAAGACCCCCACACTCATACTCATGGACTCACCCGCTCACAGCCACGCTCACACGCTTACACTCTCACTCACATACACTCAGAACATGAGATCACTGGATGAGCCAGCGAGTCTTCTTTCCTGCGTGGTCTGCGGTGGCCGAGCCCTACCTGGAAGCGGAAGTGCCGCTGCAGATCCCGGAGGTCCAGCCTCATGGCCCACAGCTGTATCCTCTCTGCGTTGGTCCAGCGGCCCTGGGTCCCCAGCCCTCCCAGCAGGGCATGGAAGGGCTGAAGTGTGGTAGAGAGGAAGCAGAGGCGCTCCGGGTCCTGAAGGGCAGGGAGATGGTCAGGAAAGGCCCACAGGCCAAAGATGGCCACGTCACACCCACCTTCTCCCTATCCGGGTCTCCTTCCCATTCCACACTCCAGCCTCCAATCCATCCCCGTAGCTCTTCCCAACCTGGGCCCAGCTCTGCCCCCATCCCGTCCATCTCCACCGTCTGGGACCTCTGCCCCGTCTCCTCTTCCAGCTTCCCTTTCACTCCATGCCCATGATCTTCTCTAACCCACCCCACCTAGTCCCCACAGCACCCTCCATCCGCAGCCCTGTGCCCTTCCCTCCTCCGCCATCCCATCCTACCTCCTGCCATTCGTTTCCATCCCATTGCCAGCCTCGTTCCGTTCCTAACCCCAACTCCATCCTTGCTCCATGTGCACAGTCTTCCCATCTCCCCATCCCATCTCCAACTCCATTCCATTCCATTCCCCACCAGCAACCCCACCCCTTCTCCAACCCCTGCTTCATGTTCACCCTCATCTTCAACCTTCTCATCTCTGACTACCCGAAGTCTCACCCCAGTGCCACCTCCACCCCCTCCATGCTGCTGTGATCTCCACCTCCAGCCTCACTCTAGTCCTACGCCCGCCATATTCCACACCCAGCTCCACTCTGACCTCTTCCCAACCCCACTGCCTTATTCCAGCTTCATCTTTATTGTTTGTTTGTATGTTTGTTTAATTATGTATTTTGAGATGGAGTCTCGCTCTGTTGCCCAGGCTGGAGTGCAGTTGTGCGATCTCATCTCACTGCAACTTCTGCCTCCTGGGTTCAAGCAATTCTCCTGCCTCAGCCTCCTGAGTAGCTGGGACTACAGGCCCATGCCACCACGGCTGGCTAATTTTCTTATTTTTCGTAGAGATGCGGTTTCTCTGTGTTGGTTGGGCTGGTCTCGAACTCCCAACCTCAGGTGATTCATCTGCCTTAGTCTCCCAAAGTGCTGGGATTACAGGCGTGAGTCACTGCTCCCAGCTAATTTTTGTATTTTTAGCAGAGATGGGTTTTTTTCTTGTTGGCCAGGCTGGTCTTGAACTCCTGACCTCAGGAGATCGGCCTGCTTCAGGCTCCCAAAGTGCTGGGATTACACACATGAGCCACCACTCCTGGCTGTTTATTTATTTTTTTGAGACAAGGTCTCCCTCTGTCACCCAGGCTGGAGTGCAGTGGCATGATCATAACTCACTGCAGCCTCTAACTCCTGAGCTCAAGCCATCCTCCCACGTCAGCCTCCTGAGTAGCTAGGACCACAGGGGTGTGCACTATCATGCCTGGCTAAATCTTAAAGTTTTTCTGTAGAGACAAAGTCTATGTTGCTCAGGCTGGTCTTGAACTCTTGGCCTCAAGCAGTCCTTCCACCTCAGCCTCCCAAAGCGCTGGGTTTATAGGTGTAAGTCACGGTGCCCGGCTTTCATCTTTGTGTCCAATGACATACTCAACCTCATCCAGGTTCTATCCCCAGTACATCTCCGGCTCAATCTCCAGCCTCATCTTGCACCCTGGCCCCAGCCTATCGAGAGCTTCCCACCCCACCCCACCAGCCCTCACTCACAGAGAGGCGGCGCCAAGCCTGGAAGGTCAGGGAAACACCAGGAAGCTGCTCTCCCAGGGGCAGGAGGTCCAGGTTCACTCCCGGCAGGTGAGATTCTGCCTGGAGGGCGAGGTCTGTTAGTGGAAGCGATTAGGGGTCTGCCCATGCCCAGCACCAGCTGCATTAGGAAGACTTACAAATCGGTGGGCCTGGCCCCGAACCTCGGAGAGCAGCTTCCTGGCGAGATGCAGGCTGACCGTGAACTCCCTCTGCAGCTCCTGCAGGCTCAGCAGGGACCTTCCTGGGGGCCTTGGGAATCCCCAGACACCAGCTTGCACCAGGAGCAAGGGAAGCAGCAACAGGCTGAGCCCTGGAGAGATGGGAGAGGGTGGGCAAGATGGGTAGAGAGCTTGATAACTCGGGGAAAGGAAGGGAACATGCCTTTTCTGAACCTGTGCTAGCTGTGAGCACGGTGCAGGCACTTTCACTAGCATCATTTCACTGCCCCCTCAAAACCACAATAGAGGCCAGGTGCAGTGACTCATGCCTGTAATCCCAGCAATCTGGGAGGGCAAGGCAGGCAGATCACCTGAGGCCAGGAGTTCAAAACCAACCTGGTCAACATGGCGAAATGCTGTCTCTACTAAAAAATACAAAAATTAGTCAGACATGGTAGCGCATGCCTGTAATCCCAACTACTCAGGAGGCTGAGGCATGAGAATCACTTGAGCCCCGGGAGGCGGATGCTGTAGTGAGCTGAGATAACGCCACTGCACTCCAGCCTGGATGACAGAGCCAGACTCCATCTCAATCAAAACAAAATAAAACCCCACAATGCAGCCAGCATGGCCCTCATATGGCATCTCCATATGGAGTGTCCACTTTTACAGAAAGACCAGAAGCCTGATCCTTTTCTTTTTTTTTTAAACAGAGTTCTGTTCCATCACTCAGGCTGGAGTGCAGTGATATGATCACAGCTCACTGTAGCCTTGAACTCCTGGGCTCAAAATGGTCCTTTTGCTTCAGCCTCCCCAGTAGCTGGGACCACAGGGACACACCACTGTGCCTAGCTAATTATTATTTTTTTATTTTTTGTAGAGACAGGGTCTCACTATGTTGTCCAGAGTGGTCTTGAACTCCTGGCCTCAAGAGATACTCCTGCCTCAGCCTCCCAAACTGCTGGGATCACAGGCGTGAGCCACTGTGCCAGGACAGAGGCTGGATTTTGACCCCCATAAACTCCCTTGGCGAAATGCCTTTTCCAGTGAGCAACCTGCACAACCACATATGGCAGCCTCAGGGCTATTGTTCTCCCCATTTTGCGGATGAGGCTCAGTGAGGTTGACTTGCCCACGGTCAAATAGCCAGAAGGTGGGGAGCCAGGACTGGATTCCAGATTTTTCTAAATGCAGAGCCCATGGGTTTTCCCCAGAGAATGCAGAGGGAGGCAGCCACCTGCCCCAGAAGTGGGCACACCATGTTCTGCCAAGGATTCCTTGGGCTCAGCCAGGCAGCTCTGATGGCTTGAACTGGCCATGTGGTCCCCAGGGATGGGCTGGCAATGCCGGAGGCTCTATCCCAGGGAGTCAAAAGGACAGGTTGGTCCAGCCTCCACACGGCAGGTGGATCCTGGCAGGGGAACCTGCCTGGGGAGAATCGACAATGTGGGCGTTTTTTTTTTTTTTTAAAGACAGAGTCTCACTCTGTCGCCCAGGCTGGAGTGCAGTGGCACAATCTTGGCTCACTGAAACTTTCACCTCCTGGGTTAAAGCGATTCTCCTGCCTCATCTGTAATCTCAGCGAGTAGCTGGGATTACAGGCATGTGCCACCACGCCTGGCTAATTTTTTTTTTAATTTTTAGTAGAGACGGGGTTTTGCCACATTGGCCAGGCTGATCTTGAACTCCTGATCTCAGGTGATCCACTCGCCTTGGCCTCCCGAAGTGCTGGAATTACAGACATGAGCCACTGAGCCCAGCCTAGAGTGGCTGAATTCCGAGTGTGCTTCCTGACCTGTTTTCCTGGAAAGAGGGGTAGGAGGTAGGGGCTCTAGGAAGAGGGCAGCGTTCAGCAATTTCCCCCTCAGGGAAAGGAAATCTGGCAAGCACAAAAGTTACTCACTTCTCCGCGAAACACAAACCAAAACTGGCCCGAAGTCCATCCTGCTCTCCCTTCTCTCACTGCCTCTTCCTAGTCCTCTCTTGATCTCTAACCCCTGGGCTCTGCTCTTCTAAATGTCCCTTTGATAAAGGTGAAGGGGAGCTTCTAGGGACATCCACCTCCTTCATGGACTTCCAGGTATGGTGGGCAATGCCTAACCTAAGATCTCTGGCATTCAGACTCCCTGGCTCAGAGGCCACTCGGGCCCTCTGACATCCTGGAGATTTAAGGCAGAGTGGGGTTCTTCCTAGCTCAGTGCTGGGGATGGGAGTGGGTGCCCCTAGGCCCTGGTGGATCAAGCCCAACCATAAGTGAGCTATGCCATCTCCTACCTGAGCTCTAGAGCCCCCAGACCCTCTCTTTACCCTCTGTAGCCGATCCTGGATAGTTGGCTCTGGCCTTTGAAAGGTCTGTCTCCATCATCCAGCCTTTGATCCCTACCTGCCCTACATGGCATGTTACCTTCTCCTCTGCCTACTGCTCTGGTTCTAGCCCCTGAGTTTTGCAGCCCCCAGCCACAGATTGAACCTACTTCCAAGCATCAAACTAAAGACCTTTGGCCCAGTGAAGCTGCTGCTGATGCCCTGATCCCAGCGCCCCACTAGGGCTAGTGCCTCCTTCTGCTCTTCCTCCAGCCGGCCCCATCCTCAGTCTTAGCCAAGCTGTTTGGCTTCTGCTTATTCACTCCAAACTCTTCTTTGATCTGCCTAGACCTGGTCCTTGTCAAATTGCTGGTCCAACCCTCCCCATTCCCGCTAGCCAAGGCTTCTTTCCCATCCTCTGCCCGGCCCTGGGTCAAACCACCACCCCACTGCCCCAGGGCCCCACCCAGTTACGCTAGCCTCCTACCCATCCTATAGCCAACCGAGTCCTCAGTCTTGGTCAAGTTGCTCTCAGCTCTCAGCCCCCATCTGCACCAGCCAAGCTCATCCATCCTCTGCCCAAACTCAGCCAAGCCCCCCACCCCTGGCTTCAAACTCACGCCAGCCAAGGTCGCCTGCCATCTGGCCCATGCCGGGGCCCAGCCTCTTTGGTCAGCCATCTCCTGAGTAGGGGGGGTCTTATACTGGGGGCTGTGCCCAGTTTCACTTTCCGTCCTGCTTGTACTTTCAGCTTTGTGTTCACTCACTCTTCCCTTTTGCCACCCCTTGCTAAAATGGGGAAATGTAATTTCCCTTCCCGGAGTGGGTGGGAGGTATGGTGGGGGGGTGACAGGAAGCTGGGGTTTCGGGCCATCCAAGCTCCAGACCCACTGCTAAGCTCCCATGTCGAGCCCTGTCCTCAATGCCCCACGCTTGGGTGAGCCATCCAGCCCTATTCACTGGTCGATCCCAGAGTTCCAAACCCCCTTCTAATTCTGAGCTCTGCCACCACCATCCTAGGGTCTCCTGTCCTTCCAAAGACGGATGGCCAGGTAAGGGAATTGGCCCACCTGAGGGAACTTACCGGATGGCCGAGGGAGGTGGCACAGAGAGTCAGTGCTCAATAGGTGTCCTCATGCACCTTTGCATGGGGCCAGGCAGGGGTTCAGTGTGATGGTGGGACTGGGGCTCAGCTTGTAACCACAGTCAGGGCTGGATAAAACCAGGTCTGAGGCCATGTCTGGAACCAGGGTTAGGTCATCCTCCAGGGCCAAGGGCTCTGTCTCCATCTTTAACCAGAGTCAGATATAGGATTTGAGTTCAGCCTATAATCAGGATCAGGACTTGGTCTACAGCTGAACTCACAACCTAGTTCAGGCCCAATGTTCCTGCTGTGTCTGGTTTAGGATCAAGCTATTGGTGACCTGGGGCTTTGCCTGCAGCCTATAGGGTTGGGTCCACAGTTTGGTCTTTGGCCAAGGTGCGGACTGGCGCTGTGACTGAGCAGGGAGGATTTGTGGGGGGTGGGGGGGGGGGTGGTCCAGGCTTTGGCTGGGATGAGAGCTGAGTTAGTCACCAGGACTGGGGCTCAGCCTGTGGCCAGGCTCGGGTTGACTGAGGTCAGGATCAGGGCTCAGCCAGGTCCCAGAATAATCTTGGTGTTTCTGCTCTGTAGAGACCACGATCAGGGCTGGGCGGCATGGACCACAGATCTCCCTTCCAGCACAGCCCCGCCCTCAGCCCCGCCCTGGATTTCCCATCTTCAGGGAGAGGATGGGGTTTCTTGGTCTTCCCCGAGAACCACTGCTGCCACTTTCTTTTTAGGATGTGTGGGGTTTCCCTGCAGGGTCCCTGTTGTGAGATAGAAACCAGGGGGGTTTCCTCTTCCTGTTCTCTGCCTCCTCGGCCTCCCTGGGCACTGCCCACCAGGCCACGTGGGAACGAGTGCGCCAGGGAAATACCAGCATTTGCCGAGGGAGCAGTCCCACAGTCCCTCCGGGGAACCAGTCCCGCAGGCCGCCAGGGGAGCAGTCCCGCAGCCCGCTGGAGCTGGACAGGGAAGTGGGGCTGGAGCCTCCCGAATCCAGATAGGTTTCCCCTGCAGCACCCCCTAGTGGTGGCAGCTCACTCCCCGGCAGCCCATGCAGCTGGGGCTCCAATATCCGGAGACAGAAGGTGGGGGCAGAGAGAGGTCTGGCATGTCGTTAGCGCGTCCCCGAGTCCTGCTGTCATCCTAGAGGCATGCCACCTGCTCACCCGCTTGACCACACTGAGCCTCCCTTCCGCTCTCTCCACCACCCCTCCCAACCTCTACTGACACCCAGAACTGCCTTACTTCTCAAATCTTGAATCCCAGCTGGGTGATGTGGCTCTCATCTGTAATCTCAGCACTTTGGGAAACTGAGGTGAGAGGATCCCTTGAGGCCAGGAGTTCCAGACCAGCCTGGGCAACATAGCAAGACCCCATCTTTATTAAAAACAACATACAATAAGGCCAGGTGCAGTGGCTCACACCCGTAATCCCAGGACTTTGGGAGGCCGAGGCAGGTGGATCACTTGAGGTCAGGAGTTCGAGACCAGCCTGGCCAACATGGTGAAACCCTGTTTCTACTAAAAATACAAAAATTAACCAGGCATAATGGTGGGCACCTATAATTCCAGCTACTCAGGAGGCTGAGGCAGGAGAATAGTAACTTTAACCCAGAAGACAGAGGTTGCAGTGAGCTGAGATCACTCCACTGCACTCCAGCCTGTGCAACAGAGCAATACTCCATCTCAAATAAATAAGTAATAAAATAAAATAAAAGTTAGCCAGGGGCTAGGCTCAGTGGCTTACACCTGTAATCCCAGCACTTTGGGAGGCCAAGGCAGGTAGATCACCTGAGGTCAGGAGTTTGAGACCTGACCAACATGGTGAAAACCCATCTCTAAAATAATAAAATAAAATGAAAAATAAAAAGAAGAAAGAAAAAAAGTTAACCAGTCATGGTAGTGCACACCTGTAGTTCCAACTACTTAGGCAGGAGGATCATTTGAGTTCAGGAGCTGGAGGCTGCAATTAGTGAACTAGGATTGCACCGGCACACTCCTGCCTGGGCGACAAAGCTAGATCCTGTCTTTAAAAGAAAGGGTAGGAGGTGGTTGGCTGGGTGCTGTGGCTCACGCTGGTAATTCTAGCACTATGGGAAGCCGAGGCGGGAAGATCACTTAAGGCCAGGAGGTCAAGGCCAGCCTGGGCAACATAGTGAGACCCCTATCTCTAATTTAAAAAAAAGTCTTGAACTCCATCTTCTCTTAGGGCTCCCTGACACCCCTCCATTGCTTGCTGCTCCTCTGCCTTTCTTTTCTTTTTTTTCTTTTTTTTTTTTTTTTGAGATGGAGTCTCTCTCTATTGCCCAGGCTGGAGGGCAGTGGCACGATCTCGGCTCACTGCAATCTTTGACTCCCAGATTCAAGCGATCCTCCCGCCTCAGCCTCCTGAGTAGCTGGGATTATAGGTGTGTGCTGCCACACCCAGTGAATTATTTTTATTTTTATTTTATTTAGTTTTATTTTTGAGACAAGAATCTTGCTTTGTCACCCAGACTGGAGTTCAGTAGCATGATCTTGGCTCACTGCAACCTCTACCTCCTGGGTTGAAGTGATTCTCGTGCCTCAGTCTCCCAAGTAGCTGGGACTACAGGCACATACCACCACACCTGGCTGAGTTTTATATTTTTAGTAGAGGCAGGATTTCACCATGTTGACCAGGCTGGTTTCAAACTCCTGGCCTTAAGTGATCTGCTTGACTCAATCTCCCAAAGCGCTGGGATTACCAGGTGTGAGCCACCGATCCTGGTCTGTATTTTTAGTAGAGACAGAGTTTCACCATGTTGGCCAGGCTGGTCTCAAACTTCTAACCTCAATCGATCCGCCCACCTCGACCTCCCAAAGTGCTGGGATTAGAGGCATGAGCCACCGCACCTGGCCTCTTCTCCTCTTAACCTGGCTGCAGCCAATGCCTCCAGCCTCACACCTCATCCTCACCCTGTGCCAGCTCCAGCAACTTGCTGCTTCAACGTGTGAATGTGATGAGCCCCCTGGTACTTCCTGGCCCTTGTGGAAACTCCTGTCTGCCTGGAGTGTCCTCTCTTCCAATCTCTGCACCATACCCATTGTCTCTGGCTGCCCTGCTGAATGGCTATCCTTGTCTTTTTTTTTTTTTTTTTGGGACAGAGTTTTGCTCTTGTTACCCAGGCTGGAGTGCAATAGCGCGATCTCGGCTCACCGCAACCTCCGCCTCCTGGGTTCAGGCAATTCTCCTGCCTCAGCCTCCTGAGTAGCTGGGATTACAGGCACGCGCCACCACGCCCAGCTAATTTTTTGTATTTTTAGTAGAGACGGGGTTTCACCATGTTGACCAGGATAGTCTCGATCTCTTGACCTCGTGATCCACCCGCCTCGGCCTCCCAAAGTGCTGGGATTACAGGCTTGAGCCACCACGCCCGGCTTCACTTTTACGTCTTTTTTTACATTTTTTTTTTTTTTTTTTTTTTTTTGAGGTGGAGACTCACTCTATCACCCAGGCTGGAGTGCAGTGGCACGATCTCGGCTTACTGCAACCTCCATCTCCTGGGTTCGAGCAATTCTCCTACCTCAGTCTCTTGAGTAGCTGAGATTACAAGTGCCCGCCACCACACCCAGCTAATTTTTGCATTTTAGTAGAGATGGGGTTTTACCACATTGGCTAGGCTGGTCTCAAACTCTTGACCTCAAGTGATCTGCCGGTCTCGGCCTCCCAAGGTGCTGAGATTACAGGCGTGAGTTACTGCACCCAGCCCGTTTTTTACATTTCTAAACATTTTTTTTTCACTTTTACATTTTTTTAATTATAAAAATTATTTATTTTCTTTGTTTTGTAGAGACTGAGTCTTGCTCTGTTGCCCAGGCTGGAGGCAGTGACGCAATCACAGCTCACTGAGGGCTCAAGCAATTCTCCCATTCAGCCTCCTGAGTAGCTGGAACTACAGGTGTGTGCCACCATGCCTCGCTAATTTTTTTTTTTTTTTTTTGAGACGGAGTTTCGCTCTTGTTACCCAGGCTGGAGCGCAATGGCGCGATCTCGGCTCACCGCAACCTCCGCCTCCTGGGTTCAGGCAATTCTCCTGCCTCAGCCTCCAGAGTAGCTGGGATTACAGGCACGTGCCACCATGCCCAGCTAATTTTTTGTATTTTTAGTAGAGACAGGGTTTCACCATGTTGACCAGGATGGTCTCGATCTCTCGACCTCATGATCCACCCGCCTCGGCCTCCCAAAGTGCTGGGATTACAGGCTTGAGCCACCGCGCCCGGCCGCCTCGCTAATTTTTTAACTATTTGTAGAGACAGGGGTCTTGTTATGTTACCCAGGGTGGTCTTAAACTCCTGGCCTCAAGTGATCCTCCTGCCTTGGGCCTCCCAAAGTGCTGGGATTCCAGGCATTGGCCAATACACCTGGCCCAATTTACTTTTTTGACTGTTTCCATTCATTAGACTACAGCTTCCACAAGCTGGGTGGGTCTTGGCCTATGAGCTGAGGCTTGGGTTAGTGCCAGCAGAAAATGGAAGGAATGGAGCAATGGATAAGGAAGGAGAGAAGGGAAATCAGGAATCCTGGGATGTAGACTCCTGTGTGTAGCCATCCCTTCCG